TATTAGAAATATTGTATAAAATTACTTTCACACTATGTATAGAAGGTGTATATGAATAACAAATGAATTTTGTGTTTAGATTTGGGTCCCAACTCTAAGATATTTCATTATATATATGTAAACATTCCAAAATCCAAAAAAATTTGAAATCTGAAACACTTCTGGTCACAAGCATTTCAGATAAGAGATACCTAAACTGTAGTAGTACAGTGTATAGTTTAATCTTGCAACAGTCTTATAAGGTGGCTATTAAAAGTCTGAGTTTCTAGGTGAGGAAATTGACATCAGAGAGATCAGAAATTGCAAAGCTGGAACTTGAGACCAGGTTCATCTAACTTCAAAACCTGTTATCTGAAAGGATTCTAAAAATGCAAACCTGAGAGTGCCTGATGATATAGAATATATTATCGTGTCAAATATCCAGCTTTACCAAAGAACAGGGTGTTCTACACAATATGAGGCATTGAATATAACTGAATCCTATGCCAATACTGATTTGTTTGGCATTTGAGTCTCATTTCAAGTGGGAAAATAGAAGTTTTGTTTGTGAAACTTATAAATTAATAAGTTCTGAGTGAGTATCAAAAAGACTGATGTAAAACAAATTCAGGAAATTATATTTATTCTTATTTCTGACTTAGTTCTGGATAGTTGATGTTGCTGAATAAGTTTCAAAATACTATATAATTGCTGAGAAAATTGGGGTGGGTGGAAAAAGAGAAAATTGATTTCTATTAGTAAAACTATTGATGACTCATAGAGAATGCTCAAACTTTGAGTGGGTTCATATTTATAGGAATAAAGATAAGAAACTTCTAAATCTTTTCCTGATCCAATAAATATTTTGTTTATAAGATATCTGACATTAGAAATGTATAAGTGGGGGACAGCAAACAAAAATGCTGAGACAAAATGGGCAAGAGCACACAAAATGTAATGCTGACTTTTGATCCTTTATCTCCATTGCTTATGATTTTATTCTCCCAATTGTCTTATGAGGCTTTAAGCAACGAACATAAATGTTCAAAAAACTACACAGCTCTGTTAAAGCCAGCCATAGCACTTGACTCAGTAGCCTTCCAAAGCAAAACTTTGGAGATAGACAACACATACTATGTAAAACAGTGTTTCCTCTTGCTCATTTTAAATTTACCTCCCATTAATTTCATTGCCTGTCTTTTCCCAGTTGTCGAGCAAAAATGTATGATCAGATCTCATCAAAATCATTTAGACCATTAGACTCTTCTTTATTTGCCAAGGTATCCTAGAATTTTAGGTTCTCTTTTAGTAACTACTCTTCTATGGTACCAACTGACTGGTGCATTTGTTACAACATGTATTCCAACTGACATACCACAACAATTCCAGGGATGACAGCAAGTTAAACATTAAGGTTTTGGGACTAGCTGACATTCTAAGATTCTTAAAGAAAGGGCTTATGTGTACTTATTTTTGTATGACCACAGCAGCAAACACAATGTCAGCATCACAATAGGACAAGGTGAGAGCTAACATTTAATATACATCTACTTACGTTAGATTTTTATGTATATGCCATCATGCATCTCTATAATCATCCTCTATTACTATTCTCATTTCTGTCAATGGGGAAACTGAGTAAATCACCTAAGATCAAGCAGCTAGTAAATAACAGAGCCGAGATTTGAATTTATGTCTGTCTGACATTTTCTTTTCCATGTGATTTCCCAACCCACACTCAGTACCCAAAATATGACTTGTGGAATGCCATTTTCATAGGGTTGTTTATCACACCTCTAGTTAAACCTAGCCTTGAGAGGGAATAAACTGCAACTCAGCAAAACTGTAATTCACAACTAGTCTAACGGCCAAGTGGAATGCTACATCCCATGGTCAATCACTTAGCACAGAGTAGTGTGATAAATAGGTAAAAATTCAGGCACACACAGAGCCAGCCTTTGTTAATAATGATGCTTCTTTGGGGACTGAGTCTCTAATTTCATTTTAACTGCCATTGCAGAAAAATGATAAATAAAAACAGTAGGTAGGATGGCAATATGAGAGGTAGAAAGAGAATTAAGAAAAAATAATTTGTGAGTTTGTTTACCACTAAAATACCCTTAAATGGCAGCTTTGTCTGAGTGGCATTTTTAACATTTATTTTTACTTTTTTATAATCACGATATTTTTATGGTTCTATGGCACTATATGTTTGAAGAATTTTAGAACATTAATGTTCAATGTTACCTAAATTTAACTGTGGACTTAATGCATGAAACACCATTACAGCAGAGAAGCGCTCCTAGCCTGAACATCCTCAGTATTGAAGAACTTACTATCTCACTAGCAGCCACTCTATCTTTGAATAAAGATAGAATGAGAAAAGTTGATAAGAAAAGAAATTCTTACCTTTACATCAATCAAAGATCTGTATTCTTATAATTTCCCTGAAATTATTCTGTTAGCACGTCTGAAAGAATTATGTGGCAACATATGTTGGTAGGCTGGTTGCTTGGGTTTTGGCAAAGTCCTCAGTGTTTGTCAGCATTTCTAAGTGAGAGAACTGGCTACACAGTCTCTCCTGGAGCTAATATCATACTTGTGTCACTAAACATATGTATGCAATTTTGAGAATTGGTTCCTAATTTTTCAGTTTTAAAATCTAATGCAAACTTGTATTTCAGAAAAGAGTATTGCTTGACCTTTTTAAAAATTATCACTCAATTAACATGAGTCCTAGTCAACTTAGAATAAAATAACTTCTCACTTGTTCCAACATAAGAGAAACAAGCAAGATTTTCCTACTAGGGACTCACTTAGACCTGCGTATTCTTTTTAGTGATTGCAATATTACTTCTTAGTCACCCAGGCCAAGCCACTGTAAAATAACCATTCTCCAACTTTCCTGGTCTTAAGAGTCACTTGGACTGCTTGTTTAAAAGACTTATTTGTTGAGCTCCGCCTCCAGAAATACTGATTTAGTAGGATGGAGCCCAGGAATCTTCATTTTTCACCAGTGCTGGACATGATTCTGATACAAGTGGTTTGTAGATCACATTTTGGGAAAAATTACCTAATGTTATTGTAACGGTAGTTCATTCAGTTTTGCTTCAATACAAAATTGCAAGGATAATACTATTGGGTTTTCTAGATATAGGATCATGTCATCGGCAAACAGAGATAGTTTCACTTCCTGTCTTCCTACTTGGATGCTGTATTTGTCTGTTTTTCACACTGTTATAAAGATACCACCTGAGACTGGGTAATTTATAAAGAAAAGAGGTTTACCTGATTCACAGATCTGCATGGCTGAGGAGGCCTCAGGAAACTTACAATCATGGCACAAGGAAAAGGGGAAGCAAGGCACATCTTACATAGTAGCAGGAGAGACAGAGAGTAAGGGGTAGTACCACACTTTACGACCATCAGGTCTCATAAGAACTCACTCATTTTCATGAGAACAGCATGAGGGGAACCACCCCCATGTTCCAGTCTTATCCCATTAGGTCCCTCCTTTGACATGTTGGGATTACAATTTGAGATGAGATTTGGGTGGGAACACAGCCAAACCATATCAGATGTCCTTTATTTCTTTCTCTTGCCTGACTGCACTGGCCAGAACTTCTAATACTGTATTGAATAGGAATAGAGAGGGCATTCTTGTTTTGTGCTGATTTTCAAGGAGAATGCTTCCAGCTTTTGCCTATTAAAAAGAATGAGATTATATCCTTTGCAGGGACATGGATGGAGCTGGAGGCCAAGAACAGAAAACCAACTTCTGTATCTTCTCACTTATAAGTGGGAGCTAAATGATGAGAACACATGGACACATAGAGGGGAACAACACACACTGGGGGGCCTTTCAGAGGATGGAGGGTGGTAGGAGAGAGAGAGTCAGGAAAAATAATGGGTACTAGGCTAAATACCTGGTGGTGAAATAATCTGTACAATAAACCTCATGACACAAGCTTACCTATGCAGCAAACATACTTGTACCCCTCAACTTAAAAGTTGTAAAAGAAGAAAACTACAAGGATGATAAGATTTGGGGTGTTTTCATAATTTTTCATATATGTCAACTGAGAATATCAAAATGAATCACCAGGCTTTTTTGTTTGTGATGTGTGCCTGTGTGTTTGTCACAAAATTCACACTTTTTAACTGTGCCTGTCTTACACTAAAATGGTCATTATACCCAGCTGTATTGGCCTAGACGTGTGTGTGTGTGTCTGGGGGGCTCCAGACACATTTGGTGCTAATACATAAGTAATGCAAATATCTCTGTGTCTGCTACAAAACACAAACAAGAAAAATAAATAGACTTTGATATAATATGGCCTTCCACTTCCACTCAGAGCTTTAGTTGTAGGGGAGAAAATAATACTTACTAAGAGTAATATATCAAATAGTGATTGCAAAACCAACTATTTGCAAAAGTGTGCTAAGTATTAATGGATACATGAAGATGATTAACACACAGTTCTTGCCAAATTGGAGCCTGCAACTTGGCAGATGTTGTTAGTCATTTTGGTCAGGTAAATGATTCACTGAATAAGAAATATTAGTGTATTAAGTCATCAGATTCTTTAATGCTTTGAAGTGCTTCATACTGAGCTCTACACAAAGTGGAAACCTCGTGTATGTGTGTGTGTGTGTCTATATATACATTTGAAGACAGGGTCTCACTACCTTGTCCGGCTGGTCTCAAAGACCTAGGCTCTAGCAATCCTCTGGCCTCAGCCTCCCGAGTAGCTGGGACTACAGGCACGTGCCACGGCACATAGAAAAACTTCACTGGCATAGTAAAATAGCACATGGGAAGATCCTCTCAATTTGCTAAGTAAATATTATTATAACTGATGTTGCTTATAGGGCATTATTGTTAGATCTGAAAGTGGAATGAAATAATTTGTAGTTACTGTTATAATTTTTTAAAATGCAATTATCTAAAGATTCCTGTAATTTTCTCACTGTTCCTAAGCACATTTATTCATTATAATGTAGAGGAAGGTTTCCCTTACTTGTGATCTCACCATTCATTTCTTTAAGTTCATTGTTGATTCCAACATCTATGGAACTCATTATCTTGTCAATCTGTGAGAAACAAAAACCATTTAAATGGATTATTACATTCACTTTTAACATTGCATTTTAAAATAACTTTCAAATGAAGGGAGCAAATATTTTTGGTGTTATTACCATAGTGTTCCACAGTTAAGACTAATAGAGAAAAATTTAAAGGGAAGTAAACATCTTTGGGATTGTTTTATTAAAATGTAAGGTATGCTCCTCTTTCTTAAACTTTCAAAATTAGCTTGCCTTTTCTTTGTGTTTCTTGAAATAAACTTTATACTTGGATAGTTTGGTAATTTAGGAACTGTGTATTCTTCAAACTCAGAAAGGGCTGTAGATAAATTCATGTGACAGGCTTGCTCTCTGGCATCCTTCTTCTCCTAACTAAGAACATATCTCTCATCCAACTGGTAAAGGAGCAGGTTTCAGGGTGTGGAGAGCATGGCCACTGGAGCAAAGTTTTTTGTTTTTTTGTTTTTGATGGAGTCTCACTCTGTTGCCCAGGCTGTAGTGCAGAGGCACTATCTTAACTCACTGTAACCTCTGCCTTCTAGGTCCAAGCGATTCTTGTGCCTCAGCCTCCCAAGTAGCTGTGATTACAGGTGTGTGCCACCACACTCCGCTAATTTTTGTGTTTTTAGTAGAGACAGGACTTCACAATGTTGACCAGCCTATTTCTGAATTCCTGGCCTCAAGTGATCTACCTGTCTTGGTGTCCCAGAGTGCTGGGATTGCAGGCGTGAGCCACTGTGCCCAGACTGGAGCCAAGTTCTAACCAAATGGCTTGATCAGCCACAAGTTTATTAGTGGCATCTAATCACCAGCATCTAGGCATGAAACAACTTAATTCTAAGATCTAAGTTAAATGTTAATTAATTTTACCTCCACAACAGGATTTCAGATGATATTCGCTAAACTAATAAATATAAGAAATGGCTATACTTGAGAAACTAACCATCTACTAGTATGAAATTTAAAGGAAGATATGACTGTTTAAGCTGTAGTAATTTATGGCTTAACGCCTCTACTGATGTTAACAATCCTCTCCTGAATATGATAGCAGGTTTCAGAAAGCAAGATGGGCATTACTTAAATGTCCCAATTTTGTTCACCCTGAAACAGATGCAGAGATATTAAGAGATTTTCCCAGACAGCTCACTTCAGAATATCATTATCAGAACCATATCCATTTCTAGTTCTCTGAATACTATAATGACCTATTGTGTTTCTAAACCTAATCCAACAGGTACAGTCTTTTCAGAGATAATATGTGATGTGTTAGAATGAAATACCAAGAGAGACTGTGGTTCATTCTTTGAAGAAATTCAAGAAAAAGCAAGAAACTTTATTATTTTATGATGCAGTCCTCCTCGGGGACAAGGAATGATATTTTATAATCTTACAAGAGTACTTACTTTCTAAATAACTTTATGAAATTAAAGAACTTTGTCTTTAAGTAGAGCTTAAATTGGTGATATTTGAACCTCGAACATTTTTTTCTTTGTTTCCCTGATAGCTGCAAAGGGGAAATATCAAATGATGTGTGTTTATTGTATGCTGCTTGGAGAATAGCTAGGACACTTTATTTACTAAAGATTCTAAGGAGCTCCTCTGAAAATGTAAGATACTTTAAAGAAGGGAGACAAGCTAAGAAAGAGTTTGGCAAGTAGCAAAACAACACAGAGCAAAATACCAAGCTTTTTCTCAATTTGTCAGCTGCAATGCCTGGTAGGACAAGATGTGAACATTCTCTTGTACCTCATAGCTAGTTATTACTTCTGCTTGATATCAATTTCTATGGAAACAATAGATTAACCCACATGTGTGGAACTGTGTTGGTTTTTATACTTGCTGTGAAATTACCATGCATTGCCCATAGAAGAATTTCCTTCCAGTTAGAGCTGTATGCATTTGTTAATTTTTTTTTTATTTTGAAAGACCTAAAAAGCTGAGAATCCTTCCCCCAAACCTCCCTCAACTCCAAAGCCTTATATAATGAACAGCAAGAAGAACAAATCTTACTTCTTCCCATTCCGATGTGAAGGATGGTGTTCTTTCAGAATTTCCTTTAGAACTGGGTTCTGCAGTGGAAGATTCGCTCCAGTTAACTCTTGATGTTTTCTCATTGGACGGATAGGCAATGAGATCGGAATCAGATTTAGAGACATTTTTTGACAAATGCATGTCGATCAAGGCTTTAGGCAATGACCTTATTCTCCCCAGAGTACAGGCTCTCTCCACAAATCCCCCTGTATTCATAACCCACTGGTCCCCATTCCGGGATCCACTCCTGGTTGATCTTGTGCCAACAATAGTATGGTTTTCGAGTTGGTTGCTTTTTTTGTGAAAAATTGTTCTACTGACCACTTTGGGTTTAATTTTCTTTACCAAAGGTTCTGAGTTATTTTCTATTGGAGACTGCTTGACGGGCAAAGGACTTTTTGCCAAACTGACTTCATCTTGTCCTTTTTCACACTGTTCTCTTTTCCCATAGAGATGAAATGGATTTTCAGGGGACTCGCAGGCTGGAGAGGATCCATGGAGCAGGCCTGCAAATTGCCCAGGATCATATTCTTTCGGGGGATCATTGTCATCTTGTTGGGAGAGGTCATCTGCAAAAGGAAGGAGGGATATCAGGATGCTTGTTTATAGAAGGTTTTGAAAACCATGATATAATAGCAGTGCCCTGAAGAACATCTGCAATACCCAGACATTTGCTTTACTGCTACATAGCAATACATTCACTTTATGAAATACCCATGACCCCACAGTGCCATGTATAGAATGAATGTATGATTATGAGTGTGTGTGTGTGTGTATGTGTGTGTGAATCATTCTTCCTGATATATCTTAGAGTTCATTTCAAAAGTGTGAATTGTGTATGAATTGAGTGACTTCATTCACTTCTTCCTTGAACCCAGGGTGTATGTGTTTTTTTTTTTTTTT